TCGATACCGAAAAAGATACGTTTTGTTAGACGACTCCATTGTCATGTAATAAGATACGTTACATTTCATGGATTTTCTGTTTTGGATTTCAACTGTAAATCAAATGTCTCTCTATGTTGTGATGTAACATTCAGGTAATGGTGAAGGTTTGCACCTGTTAAAACGTTTAAACCGGCTGCATTTGTTTGCACCTGTCCTATGTCAGGAACCTGTTGTTCAGTGATTGTCGTTTGCTGATGTGGTTTATAAGTGTTTCACGTTTCCCGTTTTTTATATAGATTAGACCATTGGTTTTCCTGTTTGAATGGTTTTACAGTAGTCATTTTTGGGGCCCTTTATAGCGTGCTGATCGGTGTGAGCCAAGGCTCCGTGTTGAAGGCCTTACTTTAACCTATAATGGTTTACTTTTCACAAATTGTGACTTGGATGGGGAGTTGTCTCATTACCACATCTTCTTATGTCTAAGAAAATACAATCACTTTGACAATAATCTCTGTGCATGCATTCAGTGATCCTGCATCCATTCAGTTCTTTTCTTTACATGTATGAGTTTAACGCCATTTCATTAGAATGAATCAGTTCCATGTTCATGCGATCTCTAAAATCAATTCGCTGGTCAAGATAGCTTACAAATTGCGATCATTCGTATTGCTATACTTCACGTCGAGTTTTGCAATATATAGTGAAAGATCATCGTTATATGGGGAAAATGAGATGTTTAACAATTCTGAATTAAGCAGTAGGGCAATTTTGTTTTCTTTTATGGTGCAAGGAACGATTGAAAAATCAATGTGTCAGTTATGTAGGGTTTCCTTCTCAAACAATTTTCTTCTTTCACAAGTAAACTATTTATGTTTACTTCAAATGATCGCCTAATATTTGCATGTTATATTCATAGTATTACATTTTTCCAACTTTTGTACTTTTACATGATCTAATATCTATGATATTCATACAATAACAATAACAGTGATTTTGCATGTCATGTGTTTTCTTAAGACAAACAACAAAAAATTATATGGACAGGACAAGGTACAAATCAGACCCATCCATTCTACATCAAAATATGGCTTTCAGACATATTGTGCTTATGTATGATCATTCATCTGTGTCAATGAGATGTTGATTCCTAAAGTCGGCACGACTACCTACGTTGTTTTGTCTCTGGCGGTGAGTTGTTTTGTTGACAATTAAACCACATCTTTTTATTCAATATCTTAAAAGTTACAGATATCTACTCTTGAGTGCTCAAAAGAAAGACGAGCAACATCGTCTCATTAAACTTATTACCTGTTTTATGTCATGAAACATCTGACTTTATGAAGAACTATGCTCATTCCTACAACAAATGGACCAAAACTGGTATAATCAAAATTCAGGACTCTTTGATCGACAAGAAGTTTGGTTAATTGATATTTTTGCAGACTGTCTGTACTCATATATATAGGTACTAGTTGTGTTACAGTGCATTACGGAAGAAGTTATGATTAAGATGTGCTTCAATGTTGTTGTTTTTTATATATTGTATAAAAGGCAAAGACTATTCTTATTTCCCTCTAAATGATCAGCATTTCAAATTCAAACGTCTATGGGTAATGAATCGTAAATAGCAGAAAAAAACCTTATTCACTAGTTTTTCTAGATTATTGGCTTATTTGTAAAGGCAATTTTGCATGCAACACTTTACTTTAGTTATTGTTTTAGTTATTGTCTACATCAATGTAAAATCTGAAAGCAAATTAATGCCAGCCGTCGAGCAGCATTGTGTTGATGTGATATGATTGAGACATCTATTTATCTAAGTCCCAAATGAGAAAAAGCTTAACCGTAAAGTCAGCTATATATGGCCCTGACATAGCAAAGGAATTTATAAAACGAAAACGAAAACAAATGTTAAGTCATACGTCGACGAGAAACTGGCATGCACATGACAAAAACGGACGGAAAGGCAAATCATTCAACGAAACACTTCACGGAAAAAAAAATTACCTTCGAAACAAATTAAATCAACTAACACCAGGAGTGATACCTGGTATCCCGGAGGAGTAATCAGATCCTGTTCAACATACAATGAGCTAGTTTATAATAAAATAACAATATGTGGAATAATTGCAAAAGATAAAACTATCCATGAATGAACATTGTCCACATGACATGGATAAAGCAATTATAGGTCATTGAATGGCCTCCAACACTTAAAGAAATATCATATTGTATTTCTTAGAGTAAATGAGTGTTTTTATAATGCATTAATATTTCTTCTATGAACGTACATGTATAAACAAACAGACAGAATGTAGTACATAGTAGAGTCCAATAAATGTATCCTATTTCTGGAATGGGTTTTTAAGAGAAACAAAGCATATAAAATCTAGAATTGTTTTTTTAGACATCTGGCTGACCATCGGACATATAAGTTATATGGAATACATTACCAAAGGCATGAAATGCTTAATATAACAAAAATAGAATCTATCGATAAGTAAGGACTAGTTATTCATCTGACCAACACAGATTTCTTGTTTTTCAAATCAGTAGAACCTTTTGTGTGAATCATACACCAAATTGTTGAATCAAGATATACACATACATAACTTTTTTTTTAAGCTTTTTTGCCGGTTTTTGTTCTCAAATGTAGTAATGTTTGGTGGTTCTCGCTGGGTACTCTGACTTCCTCCTAAGGTCACAGAAAAAACCTTAACAAACACCGAGAGGTAACTTATTCTAAAATGCTTTTAATATTCTGACCCTATCTTTTATAGCTGTGTTGAATATAATAGTACTGCAGTCCTACAATACACAAAAAATAGTCCGGCAGTGGGAACAGCTTTTCGTTATACAAATATTTATACAATGATAGTGACATTTTGATCTCCGCATTTCAATGATTATGACGTATTGCTCAGTCTATGAATGTTCCTGTCTACGATCTGCAATCCATTTCCTGCTCATACAGGTCATGTCATAGACAAACATTAACATACTTCATTTTCTACGGCGAAACTCTTCAAGTTCGAAACTATAATGTTTCAATGAGTAATACAAAAAAAATCAGTCATACAACATTGTCACTAATCACTGAATGCACGGACAGTTCGAAATTCTGAAGCGTAGGACAAATTAAACATTTTGATCTTTAATCGGGCACTGTTTTGTTATTTCTTTTTACTGTTGAAATGAGTTGTTATGTTATAATAAATAATTACCAACTTTGAGCGATGTATTATTGTTGACCGTGCGAGATTTTTTTTCCACGTACCAGTCATCAGCTGATTGTTTGATATTTCCTTTTATTACTACAGGGGCGTCAAAGAGTTTTAAATCGCAGATAAAGGCAATAAATGTGAGTGTATTTGTCTTTCGCAAAGCCAATGTGCAAAGGGTATTGCAGGATAAAAAACAATAACTCTTTAGTGTTTTTAAAGGGCACTAGCTGTCAAATTCATGTTCACCGATTGGATTCAAATTCTCATATTTGATTTATAACCATATAAAACATTTATCCAAATTATAAAAAGTCTAAAATAAACAATTTACAGGGCATGGGCTCGATAATATGTAGCTTCGTTTCGTGTGTATTTTAGTCTTGACGCCATCTAAAGATCTCCGATGGCCAAATAAGCGATATCTCCGAAGATCTCCGATGGCCATATAAGCGATATAAACATAAATATAGATATAAATAGAAATCGAAATCGTACAATTGGATTTTTAAAGGTCTGTTTTATTTCATATTATAGATTAAAAATATATGTTAATCATCGTTTTTACCTGTATAAGAATGTTTCTTTGTGGATCGAATCAGTCAATCAAATGATTTGCCTTTGTTTCACTTTCAATGTTGTCATTTTTTTCCTTTAAATAACCGAACACGCAAAATGCATGCGTTATCCATCTCTAGCTAAGGAATTAAATTGAAGTTCACATGAATACGGATTCAATGAGGTCGAATTATTCCCTTGCAAGGGAATAATTCATAATCAATGTTTCTTAGCTAAATTTGACAAAATTGAACCATACTGGTTGCTAAAAGCGAATTATTACTTTACTATTTCACTTTCATTAATGATCGATTGAACCAAAAAATCATACTTTAGATTTTTCATATATCTCGTAGCTATTGCTTCTTTAAATATCAGATGTATTTGTACTCGGCTCGAAAAAGGAGAAATAGCTCGCTGAATTTCGCATTACACATTTTTCTTAGCCTTGTACAAATACAGCTGATATTTAAAGACACAAAACAGTTATTGTATATATAATTATTCACGAAAGAGAAATGTAAGATAAGATTTCCTGATTAGAATAACGCTAATTGCAGGTATCTAGGTAACAATATGCCCCAAAAAATAATTATTATCCTTTTTTATAATTGTGCCATAAACTTCTAATTAAATAGAAAAAAGTATCATTTAAAAGATTATATATAACCCTGAGTCAAATTATCATTGTATATGTCATTAAATGAAAATCACTTATATACGAAAATCGAAAAATTAGAATGCGTACTTTTTAACGTACATAAATATGTAAAGCTAAACTTGGCACATACACAAACATTTGAACTGAAACAATAATAACCTCAAATTTGTAAAATTGGTGATATTATCGTATTTAGCTATCCGTCTAAGCAAATTTTTTATCATCTTGAATTGAACATTAATTATAAGGAGATACAGTGTACTTCGTAACTCAGATATTGACATAAAAATGTTTAACCTGCCTAAACTGAAATATAATGAAGGTGAGATACCGTGTACATCAGAACTCAGGTATGGATATTTTAAAATATCTTTAAATAGTACACATTTAAAAGTAAACAAACACGTTACAAACTTGCTTACACATTTTGTATTTTGAAGCAGATTCAATTTAAACCTTTACATTTTCATCGATAAATACTCTTGTAATCACGTGCGTTAATAAGGTTACAAAATCTAGATAGGATAGCAATTTCTGTAACTTCCTGTTTACTTGTCCGATGTCGATTATTTTTAGACATAGCCTGTGTCAAGGTAACTTAAAAGAAAACAACCAAAATGGCACAATCCGCTTCGAAGTCCTGCGACATCTGTATGAGCGGACCAGGACATAACTATTGTGAACAATGTGATCAATGGATGTGTGAAAACTGTAAAACTTTACATTTAAGGTCAAAAATAAGTAGAAATCATACCTTTCTTAGTGGGTCAAATATCAATCCGGAAGACAAATCGTTTTGCAAAGAACACGACGAAAACTTCATATTTTACTGCATTGATTGTGACATGCCAATATGCAAAATTTGCACCGTCAAAACACATAAAAAGCATGATATGTCTGAAATCAACGAATCGACACAGGAATTACAGGCTGAAGTGAAAAAGATAATTGACTCGAAGATTAAATCTATCACAACAAATCTAAATAAAATTGAACAAGGCACAGAAATGTACAAGAGCGACATAAAAGAGACTATTCGTGTTATTACAGAAGATGGGAAACAGATGAAGCGGTGGATTGACAAGAAAGTACAAGACCTCATTACATCATTGATAGAAAAGGAGACTGCAAACCTGAAGGTCTTTCAGTCAATTAGAACTGGGTTTCAAAATTATTTAGAAAAGTTCCAGAAATGTCAGACTGCCTTTACCGAGAGTCAAAAAGTTGTCGATGCTAGCAAACTTCTGACACAATTGAAAACTATTAAATCCGACTTAGATGTTGAAGGTGAAACGCAGCTACCGGTCATGCCGACTACGAAATATAACAAAAAGAATGTATCAGAACGAGAAATATTCAATCTATTTGGAGATGTTTCGTTCCAGTAAGTTATTTACTCTAGACAAGTGTTGTAATGCCAATAGTTTGTTTTCACCTATGGAGATGATTATTCGTTTACCAATGAATGACTTTTGTAATAAGTTAAAATGTTTTGGCTAAAATTATACATTTGAAATTCTTTTCCCGTCGTGACGCATCTACCATTGTATACACATGCATTCCATGTTACACGCAAATGAACTAGATGTAACACGTAAGGCACACGTAGAATTGCATCAAGTGATAAATAAGGCAATTCCACGAACAGGAAGTTACACGTATGCATGATATACACCAATCTGAATAAAATACAGATCCCCGGTCTACGCTTCCCTTAGACGGATCAGACAACACTCCGTTCTACTTTCTGTTCTAGAAGTAATAAGTAAATTAGTCAATTAAATGTCTCCCTCAACATTTTTCAATGTGTGAATCTTAAAAAAAAATCCCAGGATCCCCGAAGCTCGTTTAATCAGAAATAAGACGTTGCATTGTCAGATCTTTGTAAGTGAACGATGGACAAATGATCAGTATTTTAATCATCTAGAACACAGACTTACGGAAAGTAATGAAAATACAAAACACTAATATCAGAGGAATAAAGATACACGCAGAAATCGGTGTAAATCAGAAACAAACATGAACACCAATGAAAACATTGTACAAAACATTTGTTTTTATAATTTTGAAAGTAATTTGTAACTATCTTATGTAAAATGTGTAAACAGAACTAAGGAAATTAGTAAAATAACAGTAAAGTAATTTTAATCAAAATTTTGAAAACAAGATTTCAATAATTTAGTGAATTAATATATTATCTAAATTTGTTTACAGTTTTAAGTTTAATGTGTGTGATCACAAGATTACAATTTACGTTGAAAGCATATGGAAATATAAAAACTCATCTTCACAAGGTTGCACACATATAAATAAACATGATTCATCTGTTAACTGATAAGCTGTACACGTAATTGTAGTCCGGGGAATAATATGAGTGCCGATAAATATTTGCCTTTTTTACTTTTTTTTTTCAGAGAAATAGTTAAATGTGTAAGGCAAACTCCAAAGAAAGTGACCAGGTATTTCCCTTATATTTATAAGATACATCCTACTGTGTTAAAAAGAAGAGAGAGAGAGAGACAGAGAGAGAGAGAGAGCACCATTGAAACAGATTCATTAATAGTAATTAGTAGATTATCGAATTATCCATCTCAATAGTGAAATGATCAATTTTAAAGTCCTTGCCGAGTCTCGGATTCTAAAATTTTATAATTTAACTATCTCGATTAGATCAATCCGATAATCCACTGGTACCAATTTAAGAACATCTGTTGTTCGACTTGTTGGTCAGATGCGTTTTGTTTAAATATACTTTTTTCACTTTTTTGGTCTTTTTGGAAATGTTGTTTGTGCTGTATTTAGGCCCCTCTACAAAGAAATTTGTTTTGCATGCACACATATAAAAATTGCGGCTTTTATCCAACGCAATCATAGGTTTAAACGTTGTTTTCAATTTAGACTTATTCATATTCATTTATGTATATACGCTTATTCAAGGACTTTCATTCATTGGATTATAAAAGTACAGTCACTTCTTACTTTGGGCAAAGCCATAAGCTAACTAAAGATTGATGGAGTTTCTGATGCCTAGTCAGATTTTTTAGGATAACATTTTTGTATACTATTGTTTGCCTGTTTTTTTATTCTCATGGTATCAACTGTTCCTTTTTCTCGTTGTATTATCGGTTCCTTTTTCTTATTGTTTCATCTGTTTTGTTTTAATCATGGTATCATCTGTTTCTTTTTTTTTAAAGTATCATTTTTTTTCCTTTTTGTCATGGTATATTCTGTTTCTTTTTCCCATGGTATTATCTGTTCCTTTTCGGCTGATTTATTAAGATTGTCCCATTCGTATATTATTTATTTTTTCGTAATAAAATAAAAATTTTTATTTTACAAAATGTTACATCCCCTTTCAAATTGTAATAGCTTTTTAATGAATAAATAATATAATTACATTAACTGTACCAATGTACCTGAAACAAGTGCGCATTTCGATAATTAGTGTGTCTTAGGTGCTATTAAGGGGCAAAATATGTATATTAGCACAACACATCAACTTGAATAACCCACAGCAAGTATACTCCAATGCTAAGAATTGGGAATCCAGGCGTATAAAACTTTTGAGATAATAAAAGCTATGAGGCAAACATTGTAAACCAAGAGTGAGAACTGTTGTTAGAAGATGATAACTATACGTAAACAATTAAAATTGTTCCTCAATATAAACATGTATACATCCGAGTTAGTATTTCAGACATTTCAGGAATTTTATATTTTTCTTGAATATATGCTTGTAAAAAAAAATAAAATTTTACAAAAAACGACAAAAAAATACACACAAAAAAAAACCACTAAAACAATTATCATTTATTCTATAATGGAGAACCAGGGACTCCAGTATTTGTTATAGTTACATCTTTAGAGAGGTTTTCATGTGAATATGATTTTTATTTAAGTTTAGGTGTTTGTTTACTCACACAAAAGATAAGATAGCATATTATGAGCACGTCTTGGTTTTCTAATTTAATAAAGGATATTCCGAGCATCAACAACTTCCTGCAAAGATGTTATTTGTTGACAATCTACTCAATGTAACTCAGTTCAATACACTTGATCTGATCTACGATAGAGACAAATACCATCCACTTTGAATTTGGGTCATACAGTCATACGTGTGTTCATGTAAGTTTTCAGACCCTGTATAATTTGTTTAAAATTTAACAGTTGATTATATTTTAAACAACGAAGTTGTGAATTGCAACATGTATGCATTGTAGAAGAACTTTTCATTAGAGATGGAATGAATTATACGGACTTTATGTGTTAATCATTGTGTGACATATATAATAAATATTTGCACAACTATTGCAAAACACACACACACACACACACACACACACATTTTAATATGCGTATTTAATGTTTCATTATGTCGTGAGTTTCGCTTTCATCAATTTGCTTTTCCATATCTCTGATTTCAGAGAACAGTCAACAAAAACACTGTACATATACGAATGCAGCAATTGTAGGTAAGAATAAGTAATGTTTATGTTAAATGTGAGAAGATGTTCGGTTGGATATTGTGTTATGTCTTTTCATTTGTGGTTTGAATTCTGTATTTTCGGTACATTTCACATATGTTTTATTTGTTAGTATAGTCGAGTCAATTTCCGTTGTCCATGGATAATGTATTGTGTTTGTCCAAATAATCATGACGTCGTCACAGGGTTCACTTAAAACAGCCTTTCGAATACCGTCATAGTCATGATAATTATTTGAACTAGTAATATGAAAATAATTGTGAATTTTTGGATCTCGTTCCAAAGAATTGTATGAATTTCAATATTATATACACGTCACAAAATTATGTCACTGTTTGTCGTGTTCTGTGCTGTCATTAATGGATGATGCTCGTTGTTAGTTTGCGGTTTACATGTTCATGATGTTGTAATGTACTATTATATTATTTGTTTATTTGTGCTGATTGTTCTCGCATTTGTTTGTAGTGTATTCCTGTCACGTAGTGATGTCATTTTAACGACATTTATTAATATTTCCATATAAGAGGGAGGTTTAGCTAGCCATAAAACCAGGTTCAACCCACCACGTTTTCATAAAATGTCTTTTACCAAGTCACAAATATGGCAGTTGTTATCAAATACATGTAGTCCGTTTCTATGTATGTTGGCGTTTGTTGTGTTGCACGTCAGTTTTTATGTTGCTCTGTTGTTTTCATTCTAAAGTTGATGTGTTTCCCTCGGTTTTAGTTTCTTACCAGGATTTATTTTCTGTTAATCGATTCATGTTATAGATAATGCATATTTTAAGGTTTTCCAGAAGTATAACACACCGAGGGGTGTCAGGATTGGTCAAATGAAAAATGTGTTCATGTTTTAATATGCCCTACAGCTCATTTATAATGTGTAATAAAGCTCACTAATTAAACTAGATATATAAACGTTAGAAATCATTGTCAGTTTGAATAGACATGTTACTTTAACTGCATGATGCAATACACCAATGAATTGTTATGACCTGTATCAGGTCATTATTTTATGCCTTGAAGCAAATTTTATTGAAACTTGGTATTGTCCGGGTTGATTCTTTTAAAAAATGACCTATCGTTCTGAAAGAAAATAACCCCATGTAGGTATATTAGACTTTGAACAGCAGTATACTACTGTTGCCTTTATTTAGATATGCCAAGGTGTTATGATAAACTACATGCACCTGTTTGAAGAATACTAATACCCGCAAGTGTAAGCCAAGATTTCACAAGAAAAATAATGTTAAACATAGAAAAACAAAGACTGCACAACACAAACTTGCTAAAAAACAAAGTTTCATATTATAAGAGAATTATATTGATACCATATGGCAATAACCTGACAAAATATTAATTTTAAGAATACACTATTTAGAAAACCATGAATCACAGGTTCACACTAAAACGAGAAAAGAAAATGACTCAATCATGCGTTCAATGAAGAAACAATAATGCGAGAACATGGTCGAACTACACCGGAAAATGACAGAAAAAGAAGAAAATCAAGACAAATAAATCCTTTATAATCATTTTGTTAAATGCAAATCAAATGTAATAAATACGAAAGGAAACAATATAATTTGCAAGATTATATTCCACTCTATGCAAATTATCATTTGACCAAAAATAATAAACGATGAAATTAATTTGAAGAATCAGAACCATCAATACATATTCAAATGATTTCAGTATATGTTGTTAGGAAATCGATTGATCTTTAGCAATTAAATTCGAATGAAAATACTTTAACAAAAGATACTTTGCTATTGCTTTTCAGGAAAGTAAATCTTTCTGAGTAAGTATCAGTAAATATCTACAACAGCCTATTGTAAAACAAATATTTTAAAATTGTGAAATCAAAATCAAAGAATATTTTTAAGAAGAGGTGTATATTGAAATTATATTTCATTAGACAGGCTTTCTTTTAGAGTAAAATAACATGTGATAAATCCAAAAATGAACAAAGAGCTTATTATTCAGTGGTTGTTGTATGTTGGTGTGGTTCATAAGGGTTTCTCGTTTTTCTGTTTGTTACATAGATTAGACCGTTGTGTTTCTCTGTTTGAATTGTTTTACGCTGTCTAGTCATTTTGGGGGGCCTTTATTACTTGCTGTTAGGTGTCAGACAAGGCTCCGGGTTGAAGCTCCCACTTTGACCTATAATTGTTATTTTTTTGTATACATTATGACTTGGATGGAGAGTTGTCTTATTGAAACACATACCACATCTTCCTATTTATATAAAATATGTATCTGGTCTTAACGATGACCATCTGTTGACTATTTAAAAAGGGAGGATTTTGTTTGATAACTTATACACAATTTTCTTTGTCAAAAGATTAATTAATGATCAACCAGTGAAATAGCATAGTGTTACAGTTTCATATTTATTCGGTAAAAGGTAAAGTATATCAAATAAAAAATAACATAACCAACTAATATGTAATTACTGTAAAAAGTATTTTAACTGCAGTTAATGGTCATTTTAGTTTGTATTTTGTTTTATAGAGAAACACCTAAAGTGTGAGTATACTATTAAAATTACTTTCTGAAATTACTATGTTAAATCTACCTATTTAGTACAATAAAATAATTGAATATACAACCTACAATTCTGTTAAAAACATTAACATACTTCTGTTAAGGTGCACACCAATCTGTCTACAACTCTCTAGAATATATGATATCGCAATGTAGGCAAACACAGATAACACAAATGTAAACTCATGCCAATTCAATAATGTTCATCTTTTAATGGTCATCCACAGTAATATGTGACCAATCTGATAAAACAGGGGGATTGTCACATGTTTATTTTGCATATCACGGTTATAAGTCGTCATATTCATTTATCTTACGATTTACGCTACACAAATAATTAAGTAAATGTAAGCCGCCGTAACCTGTTTTTTTCTCTTTTATACTTGATGTCATGTTAATAGAATAATGTACTATAACAAGTAATAAGAGATTTAAGAGTCCAAAATATGTACAAAACATACTTCATTGATATTGAGGTTTTGGAACTATTAATATGATCGCCATGTGATTTATTTGTTTCAAACTATAACACTTGTGCACATACATGCTGGTTCTTATTGAAATATTTGTCCTATCTAAACAAATGTCTTTTACATTTTGCAAGTTATTGAGATAGGGCATATACTCGATGGTTAATCCGACTATGTTATAGAAAATGAAAACAACACGTTTAAAACTTCATTATAGAAAACGTTATTTTGTAAAGAAATACAAAGAACTTTGATCATGGTTTAAGTAGATGCAATAACGCCGTATATCTTATTATTATATAAGTACAATCTATTGTCAATTGTCATGTGTGCTTCGATCCCTGTGTTAATAAGTAACTTTCATTATTTAAATAATCGACATTATTAACTCGCGAAACACAGGGGTTGTCTCTAGTGTTGCAGAAACTACTGACTTCTTGAATGCCTTAATTCCCAATGTCCACCTCTCTTGTTAATTTTTATCAATCTTCAAGTTTCTGTTGTTTATCATTCTTAGACATATTTTATATTCTCCTTAATATCTTCTCCGATTTGCTAATATATAAAAACGGTTGTTGTCTCTTTCAGGTTAAAGCTACGTTCCACTTTATTTATATTTAAAATATGCAATTACTGTCCTCAATCGTGTCATACATATATCATGTATATATAATCGTCCAGTTAACTTGTTAGATTCCTTAGCATAAACATTCTGCAAACTTATGAACTACGTAGAATGATTAAATGCCAATAGAGAAAAAAAAAACGATTACACTACGCTTGGTTAACAAATAAGAATAAAGATATTGTTACAGTGAAATTAGAAAACGTAGAGAACACTAGAAATGAAACTGTTGGATTAAGAGAATGCTACAAATGAGTAATTAAAACTAAGCTAATCATTTTCAACATGATGATAAAGTTTGATAAGCCGTTTAATATCTTTGTTTCAGCTTAAATCAAGTAATGTTTTCATTATCATTTTCATTTTAGCATACAAAACTAGCCATATATCATATAAATGCATGATTATTTTGATACATTGTGTTTAGGTAGATACCGTATTATTCTCATGATTAATATATTGAAATAGTCCAATTCAGTCTTATAATCCGCAGAATTTGTTGCTTATACTTTTTTTATGAATTGCCGTTTGTTTTACAACTGTTTCATGCATGTAAATAATGTATTGTTGACTAGTCATGAATATTACATACTTCAAAATCAATAATGTAAATAATGTATAGTACTGTTTATTACTTGTACTTTAAATGTATAGTTTAAGTTATAAAAAATTTTGACATGACATGTTTTCTAATTCAGTCATCCTTTCGGGTAAAAACTGCATTTTTCTAAGACAAACATCTTAAACTTTCAATGATTTCCATACACATATATTTTAACACCCATAATTATGAATTGGAAATTAACAGTAACTAATTTGATCAAGCGTAAAAGGGAAATCCCAACGCTAGACAATTTTACATTTGCGTGAAACACACTAAGTTACAGAAAATTGTTATTTTGCATATAATACACTTATGTCACTAATGAGTCTTTTGTAGACGAAACGCGCGTCTAACGCAAATACAAAATTGCAGTCCTGGTATTTATGATCAGTTTATTTACAGAAATATGGTATATATATGATATATTTAGTTCATAATTATTAAAATGTAACAGACCATCAAATAAGGTGTATATACATTTTTGGAGCCAGATAAAACAAAACAACTCAATTGAGAAGATAGAAAATAATTCAATCAGACACACCACCATTAAAAAGTTACTAGACGCGCGTTTTGTCAACAAAAGACTCATCAGTAACGCTCGAATCAAAAAAGTTTTAAAAATTCAAATAAAGTACTAATTTGAAGAGCATTCAGGACCAATAATTGCGAAAGGTTTGACCACATACACCTAAGGAAATCTATTCCCGCGGTATTTCGTTAGATGTAAGTTTTTGTTAACAGTTGATTTCTAATTATGACCATTTCAATGATTATTCATGTAATGCATTTATAATATTGATTTTGTTATTCTCTGAAGTGATTCCGATATTTTTCAAAGTCTGATACCTTGCCATTGTTTGTCAATGTTTTATAAATGTTACGGCAAACAAATCGATTCCATATCCTTATAGTTAAAAGAAAAAGATTGTACATTGTTGTATGTGGAGTCAGTTTTTTTTAGCATAAATAATCATATTTGAACAATACACATGATGCAGATGCAGTTGAAAATTCGCATATTTCAAATTGATAGGTTATTGTTATAGTCATTTTGATAATAAATGGCCTGTTTCGATCAAATTTGGTACACACCTGCTGTGCGTTAATGATTGATGTTATCTGTAATGAAACTACAACAAGTAATGTCTTTGGATAATGGCTTATCTTAGGATGTATATGAATACATCTTTCCACTCTCCTATCAATCATCAGTAAATTGACCGTTCACATGTGGCAAATTTAACACATGCATAAACATTTGCAACACGTGTTGTCGGCCATTTCCTCGCCAAACATTCTTATCTGAACAGTTTATTTGATCTCAATTTGTTTTTTAATTTTCACAATTAAATTGTCCAGTATTTTGTTTTTTAGATGAAATTGATAGATACAATACATTTTAAAAGATATATACAATAAAACATGCAAGTTAGTATGTATAATTTCTGGAAATTACATTTTATATCATATAATAAAGATTCAGCAACAACAAAATTGACACCTTTCTCAATTTAATTACAAAGAATTTACAAAATAGCGTATATATATAGTATTTCCATTTTCCAGTATAATATGTGTACAAGAACTATTCTATGTTCTTTGACAATCAAAATATTTTAATTCAGGTATTGTTAGGTAGTGTAAGTTTTCTTATCTTCAAATATTCGGGTTTGAGCGTTCCTGATGAAGGTAATTCCAGAAAAGCGCTTCGGACGCATTAAATTAAGAAACGTGTTGTTTCATTTTTAAAATCAATCTGGAAGAAGGAATTTACAACTTTATCGGAATGAAATTGGAATTTAAATTACTAATCTGAAAGTGTGCATTGAATGAAATGATGTAGTGAATTAGATATTTGTAGTCTTTTTGTGTACAAAATTTACAAAAAAAAAAGTATTTATGTTTGTACTGCCTTCATCACTAGAATGTAGTTAAAAGACAGAAGGGAAATCAATTCATAATTTATGTTTCATTAGATGCTTCATGAAAAGTAAGATGATGTTTAATTTTGATATGACTTTGTTCTACTGTGGGAATATTTGCTGATTGTACTTGACCGTTTGTATAATTTTATATAAAAATTACAAAAAAGGAAATAAGTAAGCATTTTTCGATCCATTTTATTTTCTTAATTTTAAAAAGGTTCCGTACAATGTGCAAAGATTCATGTTCAGGACAATATAAATTTAGAACAAAGACGAAGTACAATGGCCAAATATTCATGTAAGCAAATAACTAAACAACATTTCTTTGGAATGGGGGTAAATCAGTTGCTTCAAATCTGTAGTATTCTAATTGTTTTTTTTTTATTCCGTATAAATGGACATGATTTTTTCAAAATGTCATAAATTCTATCTTTCAACCCTTCATGGAACTATCTCATACTTTAACACAAAAGCAAAATATGAGCAAAATATTCCTCTTTTATATATTTGTTAAAACAAATTCTTCATCTTGTTATTATCCAATGTTCATACTAACCGCCATTTTGTTGATTAGTTTGACCTAGGATGTTGGGTTGCCATGTTTTGCTAAGGGAGCGGGGCATACCAGTAAATAGTGGAAAGGTGTATTTGCAATCAATCAAAATATTCATATGTAAAGATAAATTTTCATCTGAGTTGATTTATCGTATTAAATGCATGTTTTATATACAAGAAATCGAGTGAGACAAACTTATGCCAGGAACTCATTGAGTATATACGTATGTTCAAAAAATTATCCAAGGAAAAAAAATTTAACAACCATTAGTATGACGCGGAATAAGGGTCATAAATATCGAATTAAGCATATGCTAAAATCATTTTAGCATAAGCTAAAATCATTTTAGCATAAGCTAAATTCATTTTAGCATAAGCTAAATTCATTGATCGTATATGCGAAGTTTAATATTTATGACCTTGATTCCGCGCCAACATTTCTGTATAAGCTGAACATTATTGCATATGCTAAATTGATTTTAGCTTATGCTAAAATGAATTCAGCTTATGCTAAAATGAATTTAGCTTATGCTAAAATTAGTTTAGCTTATGCTAAAATCATTTCAGCATAAGCTTAAATGGATTTAGCATATGCTAAAAGCGATAATTATGACCCTAATTCCGCGCCATACATTAGTCATAATCAATAGTGTGCTGTACTTGTGCTATAAAAATTTGAGATAAATTCATTATGAGCTGGACGTATGGCATAACATTATTGTGGAAGACCGTATGCCGACTGCTTTTGTTCCTTTGTCGTGTTGTGCAGCTGTGTTCAACACATCTGTTGTATATTAATTATAC